ACTGGGGAACCCTAACCCTAACCTTAGCGGGGAACATAGGACCCGGGGAACATAGGGATGACCCCCTCTTTCTCTGCCTCTTCTGCTTCATTGTTGTTCTTGTCCCCACTAAAAACTTGGAAAGCCTTTAGGAAGTTGGAGCCATTATCGGTTGTTGTCCTCACAACTTTGTTCCTGATGCCATATTCAGAATGGATGTCATTGAGTGCAGCGGCCAAAACATCAAAGGTGTGGGAACCTCTTAGTTGTCTGCAAGCTAGGGCTGCTGATTGTCTAGTCAGGTCTGTAGGGTTGACCCAGTGGGCAGTCACACCAAGGAAGCTCCTTCTCCTAACTGACCAGCAGTCTGTAGCGGTGGTGAAGTGGTCCACTTTACTCATCTCCTCAGTTACCACGTTTTTCATAGTCTTTGCTAAATCTTCAATCCTTGATCGCAGGGTAACCCGTGTGATGACTTTGACAGTAGGAAGGAGATCTACGAGAAGCTCTCTGAAGGCTTCATTTTCAACAGTTGACAATGGCTGGAGCCCGTTGACAACATACTTAATAATGGCCCTGTCAACTGCACTCTGAGACATGGATCGGGTATCCAGCAAGGTGGTCTGTTTGAGGGTGGAGGTCCCAGCTTCCAAAGCCCTCTTTCTTTTCTGTGAAGTCAGCTGCTCATATTTTTTCAGATGGTGTGGATGTGCTCTCTACGTGAAAAATACATGAATAAAAGAAATAATATTGTTAGTTTAAATGATAAATGATAAATGATAAATTGATCATTCAACAATTACCACAATGACCACTATATTTTATCTTTCAAAAATGCCAAATTGTTTAAAAAATAGCAGATCTACAAGCTAAAACATCATGCAGCACACTGAGCTTGGACATCTGCTTTCCCCCCTTTTTTCTTTGTGGTTAACATAAATCCAGTTTTGGTTCCAACTTGTGCTCTGTATCTGGTAATTATTACATGCACATACATGCACTTTTTTCATATCTGCTCTAGACCCAGACTGGCAATAGCTGTGCATTACAACAAATCCAATTTAAAAAAACAAAAACAAAGCTATTTTATTGAACAGCATGCTATTTCACTACAGCTCCTATGAACAAAAATGCACATTTTCAATATTGCTTAACTTCAAGTTACAGATCTTGTACGAGTGAAGCACTTGATATTGAAAATTTATCATGCGGGAGGAAAACTGCCTCCTTCGAGTAGGTTAAGATGCTAACCCTACTAGCAACGTTAACTTGCATGTAATGTTGGCTAAAACTATGTTTTATTAGTAATTACATATTTATATTCCTGGCACATGAAATGACATTGGCAGCGATTAACGTTACTTAATTCACTTACCTCAATGTGTTTCTTAAGGTTGGATGGAGAGTTCTTAAACGCCTTTATCTCATGGCACTTTGGTAGGCACAAAAGGCACTTCATTCTGTATGT